AGTATAATAATTATAATGCTGCACACAAACTACCAAAATATGCTTGTGTACATGACGATACCTTATGATATTGAATGTGATAGAAGTGTCCATCATGCTTATCATGTTTACGGAAACAAAAAACTTATAGGTTAGTATCAGCTAGTGGGGATATCCATAGATAGGCATCGGGAACAAGAATTCCACATATAGTTTGGTTTGTTAATAGGAGCACTGCCTTTTAAATTTTAATTGGATTTAATTTGCACAAAATTAGAAAAAAATTATTATTATTATTAAGAGCAAAGCGGGTGTGGTCATAATGAAAATAATAATGGCAGCTATCAGCAAGTCAATACTTATTTGCAGCAAACGCTCAGCAAGATAAGACAAAACTGCTATCCAAAGACTTCTCAAGGAAGGTCATACAGCACAACAACAGCGTGGCTCGGGGCCTGAGCCCCTTAATGTTTTACATTCTTCTAGTTTTAATTGATGTCATAGTTTACAGCATGCGGGCGCGCCCAAACTGATTATTCTTCTCTTACAGAACGAGATTTTCTGATAATGATGGCCTTCATGAAGACAGCAGCTACTGTGCTGCTTATCAGGACGACTGGAAGAGCAAGACTGCACAGCTAGCCGCCATGCTTCTATGAATATCATTATACACGCGCGCGGAGTCATTTTTGTGACGTCAATACATTTTTCACTTCTGTCCCAAACACAACAGCAAAAATCTATGTAGTAGGGAATTGTGTTGTTACTAGGATATACTAAAATGCAGCAAGTATCATATAGCTTAAAGTATTACACTCTCCTTCTCTCCTTATTCTCTGCAGCAGTTGTCTTCATCGTTATACTTTACCTCTCGTGCAAGCAAGAGGCCGTTCTTGTAAGCTTATCTCTTTACAAAAGCAAGTTCAAGGAAGAACCGACACTTTGGCACAGACTCAATAGTAATGACACTGCAGAGAATGACACTTTGGTTTGGCACATAGCACACTATGAGGATAGAGACTTTCCTTATGGTGGACCTGCAATTGTAATGATGATATTCCACTACTACAACAAGACATTGCCCTCTTTATGGCTGAAGACATGTAACGATGAATATTGTGATTGCTTGCCACCTCAATGGGTGCCTCATGGTAAGTTAGTTAATAAAATTCGTAGAGAAGTAAAGTATTTTTTCAATGCTGTGTTTGTAATTCAGCCAAACACCACTTCTGTGTATGACACTGTTGATGCATATAATGACAGTAGTTGCACTGATTCCGGTCTCATTATTGAAGATATGCCAGTCTATTATGAGACAAAGGAGAAGAAGATTGAGTTTGCTGTGTGCCTCTACAAAGCTATCATTGCAAAAGACACTTCCCTACTTGATGTGGCTTCATGGATAGAGATCAATCGTGCTATTGGTGTGGAACATATCACAATGTATGATCAAGACATTGGACCAGATATCATGAGACTATTGAAAAACTATGAAAAGGAAGGTTTTGTAAAGCTTATTGGTTGGAAAATATACAACCCAGACTTTAGAATAGCGTACAATGGTCAGTTGGCTACTGCTAATGATTGCTTTTACAGGTACTTAAGGAGAGCTAAGTATGTTCTGTTTATTGATTTAGATGAGCTGATTATACCACACTCCACTACAACCCTTGGGGATATGATTACTAGCTTAAGTAAATTTAAAAATATCAGTCAATATCGATTCTATAACTCATTCTGGCATGAATCACAAATATCACTGGTTTACAATGATACCAAAAAACTTCCAATTCATTTTAGACGTCTGGAACGAACTAAAAATCCACCAGAAACAAAAAGATATAAGAATATCATTAGAATGGAAGCAGCAGTAAGAATAGGCATTCATCACGTCTATCATATGAAGAAAGGTTACAAGAGGTATCAAGTACCAGAACATATTGGACTAATGCATCACTATAGGACACCAGATTATGCTAAAGATGAGAAACAGTTGACTGAAAAGATAATGTCAAGATACTTTAATACTGTTATGAAAAGACTCACACAAATGACTGACAGCTATTAAACTAACTGTACTGCGCTATGTTCACATGTACATACTGATACATTATGGCTTCCATTTACTAATAGTGTACAGTAAAATACTGTAAATCACGGACTATGTTACTTGTTACTAATTTTTGACTGGAGGTTCTTGTAAAATTTAAAAATAAAATAAAAGTTAATGGTTCTAATCTAGCCCTTAATCTAATGAGAGAGAAAAGAACATTCATCTCTCTAGTCTGTGAGACCATTATGAATAGTATCAATTGTGATGGAGAAGGTGGTTGGACTAGAGTAGGATATCTTAATATGACCCAGTCTGGTGCTACCTGTCTTAATGGACTAATACAAAAGAACTACACTAACATTGACCACCCACTGTGTGGTAGAGAAAACATAAATGATGTTTCTTACTGTGCTTCAACCAACTTCTCAACTAATGGACTAACTTAACAATAAAGTCTGTGGACAACTTAGAGGATATCAATTTTATGGAACCCAAGCATTCAAAAGAATTGGTGGATCTGGCTATAACAGCAATTCCCTAGAAGATTTTACTGTTGATGGTGTATCCATTACTCACGGAAGCAATCCTCGTAAACATATCTGGGCATATGTAGGAAGCTACAGTGAGGATAGTACTGATAATTGCGCCTGTCCATGTAACACTGGGTACAGTGGTGGCTTAGATCTTAATGCTACATTCATTGGGTCTCATTATTATTGTGAGTCTGGATTAAATCCCGGTCAGCCATTTTCTGCTGTTCTCTATGCTACTGATCCATTATGGGATGGACAGCAATGTGATGATCAAGAGTCTACCTGCTGTCCAGCTAACTCTAAGATGCCTTGGTTCTATCGTTCACTGGATACACAAACCACTGATGATATTGAGCTGAGACTCTGCGACGGCAGAAAAGAACCATCAGATATTGGTGATTCTCCACTGGATATTATTGAACTATACATTAAATAGCACAGCTATATACAATGAATATGTGAGTGTGTGTACGTGGAATTCTAATTTCAGTAGTAGTTAGCAACCAATACAAGCCAGGTGCAACATGATAGTGACCAATTGGGAATACAAATCATCATTATTACATGTACATGTATGTCAATAATTCCATATATGCTAGACTATTAGTACATAACATGTAATTATGCAGTGCATACATGTACACGTAAATATAGATATTGATCGCTGCATAGAGTATTAATGTATGTATATACATACATTGTACCTTGTGACATTGAATGTAATACTCCTTCACTCGCCCCTCCCTCTCCATCCCTTTAAACACATCCACTAGTCTTTGTGCATCAACTATAGGAGGAGAAGAATAGAGAGAGAGAGAGAGAGAGAGAGAGAGAGAGAGAGAGAGAGAGAGGTGTGAAAAGACAGAGGAAAAAAGAAGGAAAAGATGACAGAAGAGTTACAGAAAAAGCCAGCAATAAATGATCATACTTGTGTTATGATTATTAAAAGAGGTGATTAATTTTGGAGAAAGGAGAGCTTCAAGACGATTCTTAAGTGACTCGAGCAGTTTTCGACGATCTTCATAGTCGGGCACATCATGAAGAACATTCTAAAAGACAAAAGGATCTAATTTGAGATAGTAAAGGTCAAAACGTACAGCTACATGTACATGTATTATGTTAGAGTTGAGATATATTGACATTAGAGAGGTTATACATACATGTACATACATGTATGCACGTTAAAGGCAAGTCTGCATGTATAGGGTTAGGCAAATCATGCTTCAATTTCTTTGGAGTTGCCCCTAAATTCCATCCTAGTAAATTCGACCCTAGTAAATTCCAGTTATGCTCATAACTCACGCTTTACTCAAGTATCGACCATAAAATTAGACTTAAACAACTCCTAAATAGCTAAATGTTAATGATGCTATGGGAAGCAACATACATACATACGTACATGCATGTACATGTACATATATACACACACATTTTATGTGTCTGAAGCAATATAAATAAAAACATGAAAACGTAGTAATAAGTACATGTACATGTACAACAAGTAAAAATATACACATACATGTATATGTATGTGTACATGATTAGTCATACATACATGTATATGTTATAACCTCTTTAATGTCAACATTATCTTAACTTTAACATAACACATGCACATGCCACACAACAGTTTATAAAACAGTCGCTTGAACCTTTTCATAACAATGCCTCAATAAATTATGTTTTTAAACATTTGCACTCAGTTTCAAATTCCATAAACAGCTAAACTTACAAGACTTTGTTGCATCCTAATGACTTTCTCTGATATCTGTAATACAATAGCTAGTTATTAACAAGTTATTAAGTATAGTTAATTAACCTGATCAACGTCTTGAGTCTCAAATACCTGTTCAACGTCAAGTACTAGCGTAGCCCAATTGTCAGCTTCCTAGAAATAAATTGTGTATTGTAGGTGTGGACGGATGTGTCAGTACTTGTAAAGCTTGCTGGGTGTCTTGCATTCTAGTCTTCACAGAATCCAGTTCAACCAGCCTCTGCATTGAGTGCAATGTCTCAGTCTCGACCTACAATTGTTCATTGTATTGTATTAAACAAATGAAAGTTACATGTTTTTTCATAATATCAAAAATCGGGCCAAAGTCCCTGTACTATTATAGTACAGGGTCTTTGGCCAAATTTCACCAAAAATCACAAGAAGAGAAGTCTCCATTTTTATAATTTTTTCTGATACATATACATGTTCTTATGTTGCGTAGCAAGTTTGAGTTGATTCCGATCAAGTTTGAATTTTTTACGATTTTTTAAAGTTACTAAAAAATCGGACCAAAGTCCCTGTACTATAATAGTACAGGGTCTCGGGCCAAATTTCGCCAAAATTAAAAAGGAGAGAATTTGCCATTTTTATAATTTTTCCTGATACATATACATGTACTCATGTAGTGTAGAAAGTTTGAGCTGGTTCTAATCAAAACTGGATTTTTAATGAATTTTTTAAGTTCCTAAAAAAAGCCATAACTATTATAGTAGTACTGATTTAGCATAATTATGTTAGCCCATACACAACTATTAATACAGTACACACGTATTTTTAAATAGATAATGTAAAAAAAAAAAATTTGTGTACTATAATTGTTATTTAATAATAAAACAAAGCCAGTTTTAGTTACCTTTTTAATGTCTTCCTTGACAACCAGCATCTGGTCCCTTAGTAACAGTGCCTCCTGTCTCACTGCCTCTACATCTCTCAGGATCCTAGGGAGACTCTGAACCACCTGACCACCAGTCTCCTCTAGGACGTTATTAACCTCCTGATTTAAGGAAGAGGGGAGAAAAATTATAGCTGGTTTATTACAAAAATTAATAGACTAGGCTATATAATTTAATTAGGTCTATAATAGGACACACCCTCTAATTATTAATTAAAATTAATATTAATTTAATTTTTAATGACACCATAAATCTCATCACTCGTACGTTAACTTTAATTGTAAAAGAATGTGTTGAATATATAAAAGACGAAAGATAGAAGGTCTAACCTGTATAAAAAGCTGTAGTTTCATTACAAGCATTGAGGCATGGGCCTATTCATAAAATAAAATAAAAATTATTGCTTCTCTTTAAATAACTGACATCCACTGATGTCTTGGAGTCTTTGGGAAGCCTCAGAGCCCCGTTCACCCATTCTTTAACGTCAAAGTCTGGATCAGAAAACTTGGAAATGTCCATGCTTATCACGTTTACGGAGAACTCATCTCCGTATACTCTCCAGGATACCGAGGGTCACAATTAGCCCCGCCCATATGGCTTTAAAAGGAGAGCCCCATTATGTTGCACCTGGTGATGTAATCACTGCTAACCTTGGATTTATGAGGTGAGAATTACATATTTTCTTAATTGTAAAATAATTTGCATGTAAAAAATACATGATGATGATAATAATTTTAATTAATAATTATTAATTAATTTTAGAGGGCATGGAACGTATGAGTCTGATGGTAAACTTTTAGCGTCAGTTGCTGGCGTCGTCGAGAGGGTTAATCGGTTATTGTGTGTCCACCCACTCAAATCAAAGTAAAAAATTAATTTATAATAGTTTAATTTTAATATTTAATTTTTAAAGGTATAATGGTGAAATTGGAGACGTCGTGGTTGGACGAATCATTGAGGTAATAATTACCAGTTAATTAAGAATTTAAAATTAATCAAAGCACTGTAGATCTTGCATTATATTTGAATTTTAAATATTTAAGTATCTCGTATTATTTTTTATGTTGACAGGTACAGCAGAAAAGGTGGAAAGTTGAAACTAGCTCTAGACTAGACTCCGTTTTAAATCTGTCTTCCATCAATCTCCCTGGAGGAGTACTGGTAAGGGAGAGAGAAGGAAGGAGAGAGAGAGGGAGAGTTTTAAAAATTTATTTAAAATAGCGTCGTCGGTCTGCTGAAGATGAAGTAATGATACGAGACTATTTGAAAGAAGGAGACCTGATTAGTGTAAGAAAAGAAGAGAGAGAAAGAAAGAGAGAGAATTGATACTAACAAAACAATTAAAGAGGATACAATTTTTATTATACTGCAGGCTGAAGTACAGCAGGTAAACTCTGATGGTTCACTATCTCTTCACACAAGGAGCTTGAAATATGGCAAAGTATGTAATAATAATAATAATAATAATGATGATGATAATAATAATAATGACAATAATAATAACAATGATACTAATGATTATGTTGTTGTTTTTATTAGCTAACTGAAGGCACACTTGTTACTGTCTCCCCTTCGCTTGTCAAGAGGTGCAAGAATCATTTTCATAATCTGTTATGTGGCGCTAGTCTCATACTAGGTATAATCCAGCATCAATATTGAATCAATCCTGTGTCAATTCTTGCATCAATTATGCACTAACATAGCATCAGTGTTGCATTATTTTTGCATCAAAAAAATTGCCATGGACTATAGTTAGTAGTTACAATGGGTATCATTATTAGGCAACAATGGCTACATATGGATCAGTCCTATTATACTGGATGATCATCAACAAGAACAAATGAGATTCCAATTACCATCAACTCCTGGATCAAGCTCTGTCAAGACTGTCACTCATGTAAGTATACATGTACATGTACTGCAACTGTTGCATGTTTAGATGTACTCCGGCCCTTTGCAATATACAGTACTGCAACATGTACACACATAATACTCCATATAATGTTGCATGCTGCACTTTTGCATGTTAACTTTGCATCTACTGCACTATGCACACACACATACATGTACATGTATATTACTGATTGTTCATATTATACTTTTAGTATCCTTTTTATACATTATTAGTTATTGAGTGTAATTTCACTGTTAGGTGGCTACAATAGAAGAGAGAGAGACTATTGCAAGATTACGTAATTGCATACTAGCATTAGCCCAGTCCAGGATATTACTGTATGACACTACTGTCCAGTATGCTTATGATGCCTCCTTGAAATATGAGGTAAAAGAATAGATGTATTATTAAGTTTGAGTTGATTCAAACAGAAACTTTTGAGTTATAAGCATTTTTTTAAACAAGCCAATTTTTTGGAAAAAGCAAAGGCTATAGCCCATGGTTTTTTAAGAAAAATGGCTTCAAAATCACCACCACTTTTTATTAGATTTTCTGATACATATTGATGTCCTTGTGCTGTATAGAAAGTTTGAGCTGATTCTGACTTCAATTTTTCGAGTTATGAGCATTTTTTAAAAATTGGCCATTTTCTGAAAAATGGCTCTAAACCACTCCCAATTTTTATTACACTTCCTAACGTATTTTTCCATTTAATTGTATCACTAGGTAAAGGAGCTACTGAAGAAAGATGCAATGGAAGACATTACAGAATCAGTTCAGCAAAACTTATCAGCTCTTAATTAAAAACCATGCACTATATACATACATTAATACATACAAAGACATGCTACACATGTACATGTATGATAATAATTAAAATGTTAATCTTCGGAGAGTTGGGTGGGAGATACAGGCTCGCTGCTCTCGTGTTTAAGAACCTGCTTAAGTGAACGAGTTGCCATAGTGACGTTCCTTGCCAGAGTCTGGATGTCTGGCGAGAGTTGATTGTGGGAAAAGTCTTTCAAGAAACTCAATAAACTGACGGCAAGTTTTTCAACTAGAGTGGCCAGGCTTGTGTTGGCTTGCTGTAGTTGATGATGAGTGGAAGTGTTGCTGTGTTCCGAACTGGTCAAGGAGAGGAGAAGGAGAGAGAGATGAGGGTATAGCTGAGCTGGTATTGATAAAAACGGGACAATGGTATTGATTGGTGGAGTCTGAAGTTGGTCCGAATCTCCTTCTGTGTACTGAGTCCAAAATATTTCCTATATAATAATACATGTATTTACAATGTAAATTTGCAATAAAAATATTTACATGTACATGTATTTCAAAAACGTGCAACCCCACAAAATAAGTATGTGCATGTTCATGTAGTCTTATTTTTTCATTTACTAGCACAAATGCTTTTTTCTTCCTCTCTTTCTTTCTCTTACTTGAATTTCAGCTATTTTGTGAAAGAACTGCAAAACGTGTCTAACAACATCAGAGACACACTGACAAACAGCAACAGAATGTCGCCTCTCTTCTCCTTTCTCCTCCTCTCTCTCAGTCTTTGTTCCTTCATATTTCTTTAATAATAAATTATGGAGTGTCTCAAGGAATCTCTCACTCCAGGACTGGTAGCCACTTTGAAACAAACACAAAACTTCTTTCTATTATTTGAGTCAAATAATTATACATGTACATGTAAATGTACCCACTCACGTTTAGCTCAGGTAAAACCAGTTCTCTTTTCCAGTTTGACGGGTCGGCATGTGTTTCGATTTTTGCTGCTATGACAATTTGTCCAAGAGTCGTCAAAACTTCTTTTAAATTCTCCATGAGGCTCTCGTGGTAACCACTAGAACCTTCCGAAGCGTTAGCTTGTGCGTCCTAAAAAATTATATATACATGTACATGTAAATATTTAACTAAAACATAATATACTAAGAGTTTACTAGAATATACTAACAGTTTACTGGAATATACTAGAGTGCACTAACCTGCAGTACTCTCCTACAGTATAGTGCAGTTTGGTTTGTTACAGTCTCAATCAATTGAGAGGCACATGATAATGAACTACAGTCAGTAATGTCATCAAGAAGGGACACTGCCCCTTCTCCTCCTCTTGTTACTATGAAAACCATCAACGACTTACAAGACTGGAGCAGTAGCTCAAGCGACGTGTACAGTTCTAAAATCCTTTGAAGATGATCGGCTGGAAAAACCAGTTTAAAAAACAGGTTATATATTGTAAAGGATCTTACTTGTGGCTGGCGTAGGAACTGGATCATTTACTGATAAAGAATTAGCTGCTTCCTTCAGTTTAGATACATTATCCAATATAACAGTGATAGGAGTAGACACTGATGATACTGGAGAGAGAGAAAAATGATAAATTTTTTTACAAATTAAAAAAGGAACATGTACAAAGTAGAATGTACACACGGACATAAGTATACATGTACATGTACAGTATGTACACTAAAAATCAATACTATGTACATGTACATGTATGTGTACGTGTCTAATTATAATCACTTTGTGCTGGTTTCTGTTCCATTATTGATGATATTTTCTCAGTACATACGATAAGGAGGTCCTGGCAAGCATTAGGAGTGACTGGAACTATAGGGGAATGAGTTGTAGAGGACAATGGAGAATATAGACCTTATGACGGAGAGAGTGAGAGAGAGAAAAATTAATAATAATTATACAAAAATTAATTTATATTACAAACCAGGGCTACTAGTTGAATGTGTATTCTGTAATCTTTTCTAAAAAAATAACTTTAAAATTAAATAAATTAATAATAATTAGACCTACCGGTACAGATGAAGCAAATTCAGATACAGATTTCCTGGGTGTGGCCCAATTAGAAGTGGGTGTGGTCAACATTGACATAAATGACTGCTGCCTCTCTTCGGCAGAACTACATGTACATGTACATGTAGATAAATTTGATTGGTTTAAAATGAGATGATTACATACCTCACTGGTGAGAATAAAAAATCGGAAATCCATTCATCAGTGTCGTCATAAAATGGATCAAAGTCTCCACCTATTGCCCCCAACCCTTCATGAATACCCTCTGCAGTGGGATCTAACGAAGTCCGTGAACCAAGCTACATGTAAAAGATAAGAAGATGTATGTGTAGATGTACATGTATACCTGATACATTTCTCTTATTTGTTCAAGGCGATGCTCAAACTTCTCCAGGTCCCAAAAGGTATACTTGTCCTCTTGAGTGTTGGTCACACGGACTCTCACTGTAAACTGAAGCCACACCCATCAAACCACACTCACCAATATTATGTCATACTTACCTCATTATTGTCATCGTAGCTTTCATCACGACTGAAAACCTATTATGCAATAAGAGGTACATCATGATTAAAATTAAAGAAGTGAATTATATGTAAAATTTGCAAAATCCCCCCTCCTACTATGTTTAATGTATTAAAATTTTTAAGATGTACATGTACATGTAATATATCCTACTATTGGTTTTCCAAGGTTTTTGCTAATGACATTAGCTTCTTGAAGCATAGTGGCCACTCTTAGCAACTCTGAACCTTGTACTGATGAAAAATAGAAATGAAAAGAGAGAGAAAGAAAGATAGAGAGGGAGAGAGAGAGAGAGAGGGAGAGAGAAAGAGAGAGGGAGGGAGGCAGGAAAATTACATATTGAAAAGCTTGAGCTTGTATTGAGTGCCTTGCTTTCACGATTCGACTACAAAAAATACAAAACATGTCACATCAAATATTTTATGAGTATGTACATGTGTACTTTGCTCTTTTGCAGCAATTCAATGTCCTTCTCTAGTTTTTGCTTCTCAAGTTCAAGTTCTTCCATCAGTCGACTACCCTCCTCAGCTATTTCCTCATACTCCTGCATGTACAATGTACACATACATACATACATGTACATGTATATGTACATGTAAAATACAATTCAAACAACATTATTGCAATTATTCAACTTAATAGCATTGATGCATTATAGTACCTTCTCAGTTTTCATTTTTTCCATTTCAATAAGTTGCCTCTGAGCAATTATCTGCTCTTCGTGTTCCTGCAATAAAATTAAAAAAATTAATATACATGTACATGCACATGTACTGTATAGCAGGAAATTTTGGAGGGGCTAAAATTGGGCAAATTGCTAAATTTTGGTGATTGGCGGATTTTAATTTGGCAAATTTGTGGCCACGTGCCATTGAGCATGCATATAATGGCTCAAAATGGCGGATTTTTATTTTGGTGAATGGCTATCAAAACGCCAAATTTGCCAAATTTAATTCCCTCCAAAATTTCCCGCTATACGGTATACTAACCTTATTAATTCTCTCTAATTTTGCTATTCTTTCTTCAGCTTTTTCAGCCTCTTGCTCCCTCTTGGTCACCTCACTGCTCTTAAAATTCTACAATGTATAAATAGCAACATTCTATTAATAGTTACATTTTATATACAGCACATAAAAACCTAAACTCAAGCTACACCTAATGCTAAACAATGGCCCCTTACAAGGTTATCTTCAAGGTTACGTAGTTTGTCTTCATAGTTGGTTTTTTGTTCAACTATTCTTTGTTCTGCTGCTTGTTTCATTGCTTCAATCTCTTTCATCATGTCCTGTCTCTCCTTCAGTGCCTCTGCTTCCAATCTGAGAACAAAAGAGACAGTATCAAAATATTCTACAGTACATTGTATATGATTGTTATGAATTTTTAAAGTTGCTCAAGCTCAGGTCAATCACCAAAAGCCCTTGGTAAAATTTTATCAAATTGTTCCCCCTCTGTCTCTTTCTCTTTTTTCACCTTGCTGTCTGTGCCTTGATGTATTCTTCTAGTGCAAATTTAAAGCCATTGGCTTGTCCTTCCTTGGAGTGTCCTGTCCCTGACTCCAGCGGATGATTGAAACGAAAGAAATGTCCACCGGCAATTATAACCCTATCACCCTTTGGAAGAGGAAAATAATAATATATTTATAATAGACAAGCATATATGTACATGTATGATATGTACATGTATATTAGAAGAATTAACACAATACTACACGCAATGATGTACTGTACATGCCATATACATGTACATGTAGCTGGTAATTTTGGAGGGTGGGTTTTAATTTGGGAAAAATTCACCAAAACTTCTGCCTCCAAAATTACTAAATGTAGCAGCTGTATATGCATTAATGGACATTAGCATCGTTATACATCTACATGCACATTGTCCCTTACATGGTGTAGTTCAGTAGCGCCAGTGACAGCAGTTCCATTAATGAAGGTCTGGGCTTCACTATCTCCTGATGGTTCCAATGTAACACTACTGTTGATATTGTGGAATGAACTGTATAATAAATAATTAAAAATTAATAATGATATACAACTGTACATGTACATGTATGTATACTTATTACCAGTGATTCTTCATAACTAGTGAACTAGTTAATTGAATATCACAAAGAGAGTCTCTCCCCACTGTAGTATCACCTAATAAATTTAAAATGATTATTATTATTACTATTTATTGGCCACACCTTCTTTTAAGACGTAGAGCAGCATTTCGGATAATTGAGGATCCTCATTTAGATTCACCAAATTAGGCAAACGATTATCAACTTTAAAACTGACACCAGCTCTCTACAAAAACAACAACAACAACAACAACAATAAAAATAAAAACAACAACAATAAAAATAATAATAATAGTAATAATAATAATAATAATAATATTAACAACAATAATAATAATTTAAAATAATAATATTAATTTTTCTCTCATACCTTTAATTCTTCTGCTTCCTCCTTCTTCCTCTCCTCAGTCTGCCTCAGTTTCTCCTCCCAGGAGCGGTTAGTCTCCTTCATCAGTTTCTCGTAGCCGTCCAGTTCCTCGCGGAGTTTCTTCACCTCCTCTTTGCTCTTGAGAATATCAAGCACCTTAGTGGGATCATCCCCATAGACACCTAACTGTAGCCTCAGCCACTCAATCTCTTGACGAAGCTCTGAATATTAAAAAACAAACATTTAAAATGTACATGTATTTTTCTTTTTAAAATTATTATTATTATCATGTACTTGCCTCTTATCAGTCGTGAGCTGGAGTCTTCATTTATTCTGGCAATGTTAACTATTGTTCTAGCTTGCTGAGCATACCTGCATCATAAGTATATGTACATGTATATTATAATGATACACAGTACATGTACATGTATATGTATATACATTTACATGTTTTTTTAAGGGAACTGTAAATAAATAAATAATAACAAACACGTAGGAACAATATATACAATTTAAATATGTATAAGTATAATGCATGTACATGTGAATGCCTATTCATGTAAAAGTACATGCATATCTACATGTACACATACATGTACAATGAACACAGTAGATTCTTCTCTCTTAAGTTAGGGTTTTATTTTCTCAATTTATAAATACAGTAATTATCTCTATTCCCTCCCTCTCTCTCCTTACCTCAGTGTGCTCAGTGATTCCTCATAGTGAAGGTCTGCTGGACTGATGGTGGCTATCATTGCTGTCTTTGAGTTACCTCCTAAACTCTCCTTTAGCAACCTAACAGAGAAAAGTATATACATAAGGGCATCAATATATATCAGAAAATTTAATAAAAATTGGGGGTAATTTTTTGGCCATTTTAAAGGAAAAACCATGGGCTATAGCCTTGGGTATTTTTCAAATTTTGGCAAATTTCTTAAAATGGCCGTAACTTGAAAAATTTAAGTTGGAATTGGCTCAAACTTTCTACACAGCATAAGGACATCAATATGTATCAGAAAATGTAATAAAAATTGGGGGTAATTTTTTAGCCATTTTTCGGAAAAAAGCATGGGTTATAGCCTTGGGTATTTTTCAGATTTTGGCAAATTTCTTAAAATGGCCGTAACTTAAAAATTTTAAGTTGGAATCGGCTCAAACTTTCTACACAGCATAAGGACATCAATATGTATCAGAAAATGTAATAAAAATTGGGAGTGATTTTTTGGTCATTTTTTAGAAAAAACCATGGGCTATAGCCTTGGGTATTTTTCAGATTTTGGCAAATTTCTTAAAATGGCCGTAACTTGAAAAATTTAAGTTGGAATCGGCTCAAACTTTCTACATAGCATTAAGATGTGAATATACATGTACATATAAATATCTTTGCTTACCATGTTAAAGTGGAGTCTCTGTACGGTATGTAAACCTTCTTTCTCTTTCCAGTTGATTTCTCTGACAGGAGTGATATGACCTTACCCAGTGTATGCAATGACCTGTTAATACTAGCCCCTTCCTACAACATAATAATGTAATGATATAATATAATTATTCAAATCAAATCAAGCTCAAGTTTTAGTGTTAGTATCAATGAAGTATCAGTGACTGTTGACCTTTAATCTTTCACCAGAAGTCATTGAAATGGCTGATCTCTCACTGCCGGCCAAATCAATGAGATTGATACGGCTAACACGAGTGTGATCCTCACCTTCAATAATCTGAAATAATAATAATAAGGAAAATAATAAAATAGAAATAATAATGAAAAAATGAGATAGCATGGGAATGAGTAATGAAGGCATGGGAATGAGATATAAAGGTATGGGAATGAGATGATTATTCCCACCTTAGTCTGGGTGAGTACTAGTGTGAAGACAGAGTGAGAGCGAGAGCTCCTGTCATTCATTCCAGTGGCAGCTGTAGCTCGGAACCTGTTACCCAGTGCCAGCCATCGCTGCATGAGAAAAGGAGAATAAAATAATGAAATAAAATAAAACAAAATGTTAGTATTACCTCAACATCAGCAAATGAAGATGCAACATATCTGTATGCATGTATAGCAGAGAAGTACAAAAAGTATTAGGTTTTCCTTTCTCTCTTGCTCTTTATTCTTATCTCCTCTCTCCCTCTTTCTTCTTTCATCCTTTTTCTTTTCTTTCTCTCCTTCTCTCTCTCTCTTTCTTTCTTACGTTGATAAGTCTTCAACATAGGGACCTGTCACTGGATGCTCTCTAACTCTCAACTACAAATATACATACAGTAAAAATAGCAATGGTAAAGCACACAGTGTATATACAATGTATATAGTGTACATGTGTAATAAGTTGGAGTCTTACATGAGTTTTGCTCTTGTGTTTGGTTGATGCCAAGAGATCGTGAATCCTTTCCTTGTATATCTCATAATAACTGACCTCAACTTTGTATGAAGTCTAAGAGAGAAAGAGAGAGAGAAAGAAAGGGAGAGAGAGTAGAGGAACATTAACAGTAATATGCAAAACAATTAACATCGAAAAAGAGAGCTACATGTACAGTGCATGTAGAAGGTATAAAAGATACAAATGTATTCCACTCACTTCTTCATCAGCAGTCCCTTCAATGCGATCATAGAGTTCATTAGCAAACTGTGGTATGACACCAAGGGCTGAAGGCTCACCCATTATACTGCAAGAGAAGATGAAAAACAGTAAAAATTAAAATTAAAAAATACTTATTTTTATACTTACCAGTAACTTTTGCCTGAGCCAGTCTAAAAAAAATAAAAGCAAAAGAGAAAAATAACATGTTAAATTTGTGCATGTACATGTACATTTTAAATGCACACACACATGTACTGATCTTATCTTTACCTGCCCATAAGCAAAGAGACAAGTGTTATATCCTTCAAAAGCTTTATCCAGCAGTGGTCTAGCTATCTCATTATACACTATTTTCTGATCAGCAAAAGAGGCTTGGATGTCATCAAAAGACCAGAAGCAGTGATCATACTGGAACCGGTGAATGTTGGAGTCTTTGAGTGACGTGATGGTCAGGTCTGAGTTGAGGACACGGACAACTTGTTTAGCTCCTAAACGCTCCTCCCTGGAATAATTGGAACAACAACAATCATAATCATGATAAACAAGAATATTTCCATCATGCAGGAATTGTTGGATATCTACATGTACATGCTACACTGTAGTACTTTTATATGTTTCATGCAGTAATTAGTGTCTTATGATCAAATGGAAAACTGTCAGTGAATTTTATGCAAAAATAAGAAATTAGAGTTACTAATACAAAGTGATGATGTTAATCTCTACCTTTCACTGAATGGTCTAATCCTAACAGCAACCATTACACTGGAATCCTCTCCCTCAGGCTCTGCTGAAGGATTAGAATATCCTAGAAAAGTCCTTGGCTTGGTCCCAGGAGGAGACACTACCTCACTACCATCTCTAGAGTCTTCAATAACTGCACGTTTCACTAGTGTATTGTCAGTGATTGAAGAGGAAGCTCGCGGGGTAGTGCTTGAGCGTGGCCGCTGTTCTGTGGTCTTTTTTGATTTTCTCTTCCCTGGGGGTATCTGTGGTAGCTGTCTCTTGGTGGTACGGGCTCCTACTGTCTCTGGTTTCTGCATTTGTTGTCTCTGCTGCTTTTCCTCCATTTCTCTTCAAATCAAGCGAGACCCGCCCTTTTAAAACCCCGCCCTATCACACCCACTGTAAAATTAATTGCTATTCATTGTTCAAGCACTTGAAAGAAATAAAAATTAAGCATTAAAAATAAAATTAAGCATTAAAAATAAAATTAAGCATTAAAAATAAAATTAAGCATCAATATCAATATTGAAATCAATTCCCAGTTCATTCTTAATAGCTTCCATCCAGTCCTCACCTAAAGCTTCTGCTGCATTAGCATAACTACCACTAACAGCAATGAATGAGCTTAGAAACTTTTGACAGTGCTCCTCCACTTTAGGTAACTTTCTCTTAAAACTAAGACCAGCCTTGAACTCATCAATAAACTTCTCTATTGAAGGATTCCCTCTGACAGCATTATTGACCAAACGAAGAGTAAATAATTTATTGGCAAGATCAGGGACAGCTTCCATTGGTAGTGAAGTAAGACCATCATAATGAGATACAAGAACATCATAGATCACTTTCTTTACTTTATTGACATCAACAGTAGCTGATGGACCTAATAGAGGTCAAAGGTCAGTATATACACACAGTATTATCACTTACTAGCTCCTCCAGTGGATGATACTGACGTTGATTCATGTACTACATTAGAGGAGGAGGAGGAGGTAGTAGGATCTGATTAATATTAAATAAATAAACAATTTTAAATCATTTGTATCTATTACCTGTTGAAGGAGGAGGATTTCTCTGTAGTGATCTACGGATGAATAATGAAACAGGATCAGCCACACCTTCCAGTGGTATGGAGTAATGTAGTGTAGGGACAGCATCAGGTGATCCATACACTGATATCAGACAAGATGGAGGAAGAGGATAATTAGTTTCACCAAATCTGTTAACATCACAACGACGTAACTATTAAGTGATAGAAATTATATTATTATATAAACCATAATACTTTTATACTAACCCTGCATGGTTCAACATGAGGGTCAAT